GACTTTTCGGCATATGTCCCAGAACAAAAGTTTCTTCTTTTGAGGTGTCAAATCGAACGCGCACCCAGGGTTTTTTTTCTTGCGATTTTAAAAATCGATCCACCCTAATATATACTCTGTAATCTGTATCTGTATCTGTATCTGTATTTGATAGATTCTAACAGTGCAACACAGTGAAGCGCAATGGTAATATATTCAGCAAATCCGAAACCGTTCAGAGTTCAGTTTGCATTGCTTTTGTCCCTATCGAAAGATCACTGACTTGAATCATAAATGAAGTTTAAAATGTCATATCTGACAAATGCCATTTCCAACATTTGGGTAAACCTTATGACGAAAGCATTTACTTATACTTCCAAACTATACCGTATAGATGCCGTTAGAGCATTCATTACTGAATATTTTCCATTTACAGCGCACTTTGTTGTAACAGTGATAGAATCAGCATAATCCGCCCGGCAAAATTATATTCTCAAATTGAAGTCCACAATCCGCAAAATTAATCAGCTGTACATGGTGTTCTATGAGCCTTGGTTTGGGTAGATGACAAACTAACAAAATAAAGTAAACACATCCACTCGAATTTTGTTATAGAAGTTCAGAAAATACAAAGAGTAAACTATGTTTTTTGCGAAACTGATTCAATCAAATAAATTGATAAAACAAAGAATTGAGGAATAAACAAGTCCATTCATTTGAGCCTCTGTTTCTAATAAATTTAGTGCCGAATGGACTAACAAAAATCAAACAAAATGAAAAAAAGATCAAATTAGATTAAAATCGACGTCAATCAAAAGAAAAAATGTGTAAGAAAAGTGCTGAAGAGGTATTAAGCCAAAATCAAGGTCATTACCACTTGGGCGCTCAATCGTCAGATTTTGTTGGTGGAAGCCGTGAAAACAACGAAATCGAAGCCAATGTGATGGGCACGTTTTCACAAGAAAATAAAAGTCATCGCATGCATTGGGCTGAATAAATTAAATTCGCTTGCTTTGCATTCTTGCATTGTTCAACCCGTGTATCAGTCCAGCGCGCTTGATTGATGCGTTGCAAATGCGTTCGTGACATTATTCCGTATACTGATATTTTCAGTGTATATTATATTCGATTTTCTTGTGATTTAATTTGTTCATTCTTTTATTGCTCTTCTCTCTCCCTCTATCCCTCGACTATTGTGTTGGTCTCAGTTGCTAGTTTATTTTTTTTGCTTATTGTTTGCTAGACACTTAACAGAATGTACGACTTGTTGATAACTGAACGACACATTGACTTTTGACTTTGAATACTAAAGCAGTTCTCGTCTAGTGCATCATTCTCGCTAATTAAATTCGTCGTATGGCTTTTTTTCGTGTCGGAGACTTTCTTGGGATGGTTAATGTAGCGAGGAAAAAAGTAGCACCTGTAGATTATATTCCACTGAAACGATGAAATGAAACTCTGTATTTAATCTAAAAATAATAATTTTCCTTTCGAAAAAGTCATTTTGTTTCCATCAAAGTCACTGAACAAGTTTTTGTTCCTTCATTTATGCTTTTTTTGTAAGATGATTTATGGAATAGGAAGAGCAAAGGTTCATACGCGGCTTCCACTCGTGATATTCCTTTTAATTGCAATAGTAAATGCATTTGGAAAATTTCCCATCGAAACACTCAACACGTTGAGTCGATTTGTCGGGTTCGTCGCTGCTGTGAGTCTTTTTATTTTGGCAATGACAAAAGTACTCAATGGAGCTTATGAGTGATTCTCGGATGCTGTAACATGTGAAACTTTTATGTTCATATAAAATTTCTTTCTTGAAGCTTTGAAATTATCTAAAATGCGTTAGTCTAACTTTAGGCGGATAATGCATTAAATCCACTAGGTATAGAATGAAAATCCATAAAAAAAATTGCTCAATTAATTTAATAACGTTAATCATGCATACTCGTTTTGAATAAACATACTCGAATTGGGCAAATCATTGGAATACTATTGTACCGCTTAACACAAGAAGCGATAATCAATTGATTTCTCAATTGGAATACTTGGCCGAATTTCAATTGGTTAAATGGTTTGATAGAGCCAATTAGCAAGTTTCCATCGTTTGACGGTTGTCTGCCAATTGTTCAAGGTCGCTCAACTCAATAAATGTTGCTTCCATTGGAAGTGGTGTCAAAATTGCAACAATAAAATGTGGTTATTGTGGCGATGCACCGTGTGCAATGTGCGTATGTATTGTGATCATCATTGATTTCATTGAGTGTAATGATGCACAGTACAAACGCCAACGAAAAAACGACTCGAAAAAAAGAGTAATAAACGTTATGCAACATCACCAGTTTATTACTTAAGATTTGTGTTTCATTTTTTTCCATCGGTCGCTATTTAAATTCCTCGTTGGTGTTCACTTTTTGAGATTCGCCACACGACTGAGCAATGCATTCGATGGATTATTGTACCGCTGTTGCTGCGAACTCCAATACATGCTGATTCACTTGGCATTGTATTCATACTGTACATTGTACATCATATGCGCCAGTTTTATGTACTTAACCACCAATCGCAAGACTTACCGAATGAAATACAAAGGAAAAAACAGATTTTGAGCCAAAACAAACCTAGCATATTTTAGCGTCTGCAGCGATTTGTAATTGTCAGTATTCGTTGAGCGTCCAAGCAGTGTATAACGGTAAAACAGTGAATGCACACGTTTTTTTGCCATTGTCTTTGATCAATCAAGAATCCGTTTTTTGTGCACAAAATATTGGTTTACGGATGAAAAGAAAAAGTTTTTGATTGAAACAAGTGAAGAATCATCATTACGGATTTTTGAAAAAGGCGCAAATAAGTGATAATTTAACGAGTTTTTTTTCTCTAATTTTCGAGTGTTTAAGACGAAAATTGCTTTGAGAATTTTATATCTTAGAAAAAAGCGTGATTGTTGGAATCGAACATTGATTGCCGGCAATTAAAAGTGATGGCTCGATTCGACGCAATGCATTGCAATGACCTAGATCAGTCGCATTTGGCTTTTTTTACTTAAAAAGTCGTTTAATTTTAACAAATTGACATTTTTCAAGTGAATTCTTGAAGTGTGTTTTTTTCACTCACGTGCTGCGCCAGCACGGTTGCCTATTCAATATTCTTCGAACTTGATACAAAAACCAAACAAAAAATTGTTGCTGATTTACATTTGATTCAATAGATATATCAAGAAATTCAGTTCAATATTTTGAGTGACATAACGTGCACTGAATAAAGCGTCTTCAGTTTTGAACATTCGAGTTTTTCAAAATAATTCTTGATAATGTATTAAAATTCTGTTTAAATGCCAAAAAGCCAATAGTTTTCCGTTTTAGGCACGAAAATGGCTAATTGGTATGCACGGCCGGCTCTGTAACAACAATAAAAACACATTCCTTAACACAAGACTGTTCACGAAGCATTTGGGTGTTTTTTTAATCGATTATTCTGCACGCCAAGTTTTGCGCAATCCAAGTCGGGGTTAACGATAGTTGATAGTATTCATTTTTTTTTAATCTTCGGAATGTGTATTGTTATTTATTGTCTTAGAAGCCATAAAACAAAAGATACTAGACAATTGCTGAGAAGTCTGCAAATGAATTACAATTGTGATACAATGAAACTGAACGAGTCACACACACACAGGCCCATTGCAATGTTTACATTTTTTTTCTCGTATGTTGATAGTCCTTGAGAATAATTACGGTATGTCGTGTGTCCATAACAAAGTGATTTGTTGACCTGCACAAAATAATGGTGATCTTTGATGTAATATTTACTTAACTGAACTCAAACGCATTTACACTTGATATACGATATTATCTAACGAGATAAAACGCAAGTGGCATTTTGGTAATTCGTCGAAATGACATTTGACGCCGAAAATTTTATTGCTATTTATGAAAATAGTTTGCTTCATGTTTCCAATTTCGGCATCAAAAGAGTTCATGAGTTTATCAATTTCGACAAATATACGTGCAAGCAACACGACCGTGACTTGGGACGACATCCAAAATAGCCATAAATGTTTAGTAAACATTGTTTACCGATAAAATCATCACTTATTTCGCTGGTTGTTTACATTGTTGAACAATTTATTTGCAACCAAATTCGGATTATGATTGTCAATTAAAAATGCGGTCAAACATGAAGTCATCATCATATCATAATTTCCAGTTTCAAATATTTCTTCATCTAATTTGTTGATGTCTTCTTCTATTTGGAAATTGTATGAGAATTTTAGCATCAGGTCTTGCGATATATATAATCAGATACTAGTCGCATGTTAAAGTTTAAGTGAAGCACTTTCGTTTTCGAAAATTGTACGTTACGGTGGTTTGTGTGCGCATAGAAATTACAGTTTGCGTGACTCAACTAAGATTTATCTCACATTCAATTAGATTTTATGGAAAGAGTGGTCTTTCATTGCGCATACCCAAGACGATAACTCAATAGAAACTCATTGAAAATAATGCAAATTTTACTTTCAAGCAAGTTTTTTGCTTTCGAGTAGCACATGGAAGAAAAATAGACAGATTTCGTAAATTCGAAGAAATAAATAGAAATCTAATCGTATGCTTGATAGTGCTAAAAATCCATTTAAAAATCAATTTACGTAGATTTTTGAACAAGTTTCATAGAGATACTTATTATCATTGCAATTCAGATTGTGACATAATTTAAGCGCCCGTATTCAAATTGCTAAACGTCTTTTCGCTTGCTACATCGCCAGTTGATCAAAATTGACAGGTCAACTGCGAACAAGTCTACCCAAGTTTTATATATAACGGTTGAGTTTTAGCTGATCCAATTTAGTATCCAGTTTTTACCAAGTCACGAGTGAGCTATCAAACACATTTGCCGGTGAACTCTTAAATAAAATTTCGTTGATATTTTTTGGCTAAAATTGGGTAATTGTCATCGAGTTCTTTAAAAATGAGACCAAGAAAAGTTCGGTGGTGAAGGCCAAATAGTTCACTGCAATTTGCCCCTTTTGAAACGAGTTCTTTTATCACCAAATTTGGACGATTCCGTTCATACGTCATCAGCAGATGCCATTCACTTTCCGACGAAGAAAAAGAGAAACAATTGTGCGTTGTACTTTCGATTTTTCGCTGCACAAAGCATAAAATGCTCTTGTTTATGGTCACTTAACACATATACCAACAATGTATCCATGCTCGCCGCTTGCATTTGGCGATGCGATAATATCTTTGCATTGAATAAGTGGCAGAGGTGTTCGTGCCAAAAATTATGTTACGAAGAAGCCGTAATAATATGCGCAATTGTTCGAATTGGTGTTCTTCTTTCTTGACACATCATCATACGCGTCGATTGTTATCCAACCTTTTATAAGTGAAAAAAAGTTCAATCCATTTGCTATTTTGTTTGGGTTTGATTGGCATATAACCGCAAATATACTTCATTAACGAGCGATGTTTCAAAAGAAATCAAAAGCCGATCCGAATAACTTTAACGAATGAAAATCTATAGCCGTTCATTATATTATGCAAATAATCAATTCACAGATTGGGCTTTTATAATCCCAACACGAAATTTTAGATGATTTTCACGATTTGTTCGACTCATGAACCTTGACTGAAAGTGAAATTGGTAGTTTTGATTCTTTTCAAAGCAAATAATCGTAATTTGAACCACTTATCACATTTCTAATGTATTATTGCATTAACGAGCTCTTCGTTTTCCAATGACCTCGGGTCAAAGTTTTCTAAAAACACCTTCGAAAAATTTCGATTCTTCGTCGAAACATTCAACTCAACTACAAATAAATTATACAATATTCTGGTGTACATAAAAAAATTCGATTTCTTCTCTACACAGAAAATTCAATATGAATATCCACCGAAAGAAGCTAAACATGAATGAACTGATGATGATTTTAATACCAGTGCTCAGTTTGTTGACATCCAGTGTTCTGTGCGATTCCCAATTGTATCAACCGCATGAAGTTGAAGTTGAGCATAATTCACACTTACCGGTTCAGCCCGAGCTAGTGCGAGTCTTCCACGGCTGCCACAAAAAGTCCGGTTCATTCGATCTCTGCATGAAGAATGCATTCAACGAGCTGCGACTATACTTCAAAAGTGGTAAGTAACAATGATGACCATGGTGAAAATGTGGACATAAATTCACCCCTTGAATTGGTTTCGCTCGTATGATTTTATGAAAATCGTTTTAAAAATCTAAAACCATTTAAAAACCGAAAATGTTCACTTTTAAATTGAAGTCCAGAATGTACATTGTAAACGTCGTTGGTGCACCGTCGATTCAAATGACATGTATTTGTGTTTGTAGAATGAATTCGCTGCAGTTGCATTTTTTTTGAACCAATCAATAAAATAACGTTGTATGAATCGAATCGCATCAAAGTCACGTACGCATACCAATTGTCGGTCGCATCAGCGGTGATTTTTTTTTGCATATTTGGTATTTCCACAGCAAATTACTACCTTTGCACATTAATTCAGTTTCCATTTTCGATAAATTCAGTGAACGAACGAAGCCAACCGTTTTTATGTTGCTTTCAAGCAAAGAGCAATGAGGTAGCCTCATGACTTTGACTCAGTTTCTGCGGAGTGCTTTGATTAAACTTTACAAAATATCATTCTTTTTTTTCGCAGGTTTTCCAGACATTCATGTTGCTCCGTTCGATCCGCACAAATCACCACATGTAAGATAGTGTTGGCCGTCGAACACATTCGAACACTTGTTCGACCGTTCGTCAACATAAAAAAAAAACGGTTTTGTTCGTTCGTTCGTTCGGACAATTGAAAAAAAATTATTTTGTTCGTTCGTTCGTGAAATAGAAAAAAAAATTTTTGTTCGTTCGTTCGTTCGTTGATTAAGAAAAAAAAGTGTTGTTCGTTCGTTCGTTCGGATAATATGCTATGTTCGACCGTTCGGATTTTTTACATTTGAAATACATAGGAATTAAATACAATTTTGATTTCTTTGGATAAGACTGAAGGTACAACGTTATTACCGGTGTTATTACTCAGTAATACCACTGTGTTTGTCCAAATAGGTGAAAATTATTAATTTACATGAATTTAAGTATTAGGCAAACATAATCAATAGAACTAATCATTTGTACATTTGGCGGCTCCCAATACTTCAATTTAACACATTGGTTTTCGAAAAAGTAGAGTATGTTTGCATTAATGGTTGAAAATATTAAGTTCTTTCGACGAAGAGTATCAGGAGTTCATAAGTATCAGTACGTAGTCGAGCTCCGCTTATTGTACGGCATTAGCATAAACGAACAACATACGGATCAATGTATAAGAGTGAAATGACAACATCACTGAAACCGTAGCGCATGGAAAATAACACAGAAGAAATGCGACAACAAACAAACATTGCGAAATTGCAACGCATCGGGGAGAGTGAGAGAATCTGTGCTGTTCGCACAACAGCAAATATTCATAACACGTTGACACTGACTCAGTGAAGAAAACCAATACCAACGCAAATTAAAACAATTGATTTGTATTGCTTGGACAAACACAGTGGTATTACTGAGTAATAACACCGGTTATAAAGTTGTACCTTCAGTCTTATCCAAAGAAATCAAAATTGTATTTACTTCCAATGTATTTCAAATGTAAAAAATCCGAACGGTCGAACATAGCATATTATCCGAACGAACGAACGAACAACACTTTTTTTTCTAAATCAACGAACGAACGAACGAACAAAATAATTTTTTTTTTCAATTGTCCGAACGAACGAACGAACGAACAAAACCGATTTTTTTTTATGTTGACGAACGAACGAACGGACGTTCGGAGCCAACACTAATGTAAGACCATCTGTGTATGATTTTCAATATCAAAATTCACTTGAGAGTTCAACCATTCAAGTACCTTGTCTGCATCGACCTCGAAGTGATGCGCTTTTGCTGTGTCATTCAGTGTGCATATTGCATTTGATACACCACTGAAGATCCAACAAAACAAATACATTTATTCCGGAATCTATTCAGTCTAGAGTGGATTAATTTGATACATCTCAATGTGATTTGCAGGTAGAGCAACGACGAGGATTGACTTTTGGCAGTGGTAGCGGATATCGACTTATATTGAGACATGTATCGGAATACGGTTGGACCAATTCTAAAGTTACCAAATACAGGTTCGATTTTTTTTTCTTCAAAATAAAAAGAGAAACGAGTTCACATAAATCATCTCTTCATTTATACAGAACGGACTTTGGGAACAATCGAATCATCTACTCACAAGATTTCCCAGAGAAAAGTCTTGATGGTGAATACGAATTCAAAGGTTTAATGTTCGGACGACCATATGTAACTAAGGGCTTTTGGAATATGACACTCTATGACTATGCGTAAGTTTAGTTTACCAAAGAATGAAATTTTAAAAGAAATCTTTTTATTCTCTTCAATTCTAACATGAGTGTGCAATTTTCAGTCAAACAACAAGTGTTACTCGAGTTGGTGGACCCGGTGGAATACTGAAAGTGCGTGTCGAAATTGATAAAATTGGCGATTTAAAGTTGAAAATTTCGGATTTGTTCGGTGGACGCAAGATTATTGGTAATTTTTTATATGTTTAAAAAAAATCCAAATAAAATAAATTCTCCCGAAAATTTAATCGAAGAATTTGCTTGATATCAAGTCGTCTTTGTCGATTTCTAAACATACATAGATATTCATGTTGATTGTATATTTTAAATTAAAAAAAAAAAAAATTCCATTGCAGAAAACACAGCCGATTTCTTCATAAACAATATGTGGCGACCCGGATTTCCATTTGTTCGGCCGCTAATCAACGATTTGGTTTCAACCGCATTCACAGATATCTTCAATGAGTCATTTAGGTAACCTTATATACAAAACTTGGGTAGAAAAAGGAATTTCTTTGATTTTTCCTTTTATTGTATTTATTAGGTACTTCCCTGTAGACGATTACATCAAAGAGTGATATTGGAATTTTTTTTTATTATTTCGTGTGTGTATATTTTGTGTATATATTGTTTATAGATGGTAAATTGCGATGTTTTTGTGTCTTTTGAATAGAGTGTTATTTAAAAAAAAAAGTGTGAAATAAATTGTTTAAGAAGAAATTCCCAAAGTTTTTCTTTCCTCTGAAGAATACATCATCCGATAATTATATCTAAATCGAACATTGTATCATTTTTGAAGCCAACGCAAAAACGAATCGAACATTTGTATGATATCTAATAAATTCGCTTGCGTGTGTTCGCCAACAAAATCCATCAAATACGAATGCAGGGCGAATATTCGCAGTGACGTGAAAAATTGTCTTCGAAAAGACGAATACAGTGAAGTAAGTAAAAAAGCACAACAAAACGAAATGCTACATTGATATTCACCACACCGGATAAGCCCAGACGATTTTCTATTCGAAACGGAATCTAGTACGACAGTAGTAGCGGCGGAAAAAAAACAACAATTCGTTCGATTCAGTGGCGACGCACGCTTAAACATTCGAATAGCGATGAATTTATTGAGACGCACGCTCTCCTCGTGTGTATCATATGTGAATCAAGGCATCGCGGTCAAAGCTGTGTGGCAGTTTACGTTTCGCGCGCTTTTTGAATTATGTATTCTCTCCTTTATTGTGCTGCCGGTTGTTCGTGTGCCTCTTACTGTTGCACCATCGCGTGCGTGACCATAGTATTGGTATTCATATGTGGTTCGCGTTGCGTGTATGCGTGTGTGTGTGCCTGACTTCACTGTTGTTTATTCTCCTCCGCGCGCACATCAACACCGAGTATCACACCGATGACCATTCGTCGGTGTGACTGTGTTAGTGAATCTAGCATTCGAATGGGCCAACACAATCTGTTTACGTTTCGTGTGCCATTCGTTTATGTTAGTGTATGCAATAGAAATTCCGTTGACGTGAGCAGGATAGGTTCGGTGTAAATGTGTCATGCTCTCTCTATCTCTTCGGTAGTCAGCTGTCATATTTTGACATTTACCAAGCCGTATGATTCAGCCGTTCAGCGCGAAACACCAATACACACATACGCACACATAACCAAACAACCGGGGCAACAACAACAACAATGCCACTTCGACTGTTGGCAATGAGCTGTTGATTCGGGGAGCATGCGTTTGTATTGGAATAAACATGCTTACCGAGTGAGCACTTTTGCGCCTATATAATCATTCACGAAATACTACGATAGTGCCACTGATAGAGATATAAGAGGAGTCTTTGCCATAGACCAATACAACATTGTACGATTCGCACATTTTTCAATATTCAATCATACACCGAACAGTGAATACGGGTTTTTGACTACACGCTGTCATCATTCGCTGTGTGTTCATAACGCGCACATTTTTTTCCGTCAATCTTTCACCCACCGTTTTTATTTCAATTTTACGCGATTTAATTGCGACATACACGTTTTTTTGTGTTGACGATTTTATTTTTGCCGATTCGATTCTGTTTTTTCTTCAAGACAAAAATAAAAAAAATAGCAAAAATCTGTGCGTGCAATCAGTAAATAAGTGTGATTTCATTCGATGTTCGTATTGCTTCAGACACATGAATTTAAATCGTGTGCATAAAAATAAATACTGTCTAAATAAATTCGAGTTGATTGAACGAAAGGTATGAGTTGATTTTTTTCCTCGATTTCATCGTGTTTACTTGAATTGTGCATAAATCGATTGAACAGTCGTGTTTGTTGTTTTTTTAGAATTTAGTGGTCGACAATAAACAGAGAATATTCAGCGGAATCAGTAGAAAAAAGAAAGAAAAACCAAAACAGGCGTCAATTGACAGTTACAAAAATTCATTCCGTGCATTTCACTATTTCAATTAAAAGCAAAATCATCAACCATGGAAATTGAATTCGATATCAATAGTATGGACAAATTGCCGGAACGTAAATACGAATGTAAGTAAAAAAAAAGGCCGTCGACAAATGAACTGTTCAGGATATTCGTTGGACATTGTTTGTGTGGTACCATAAATGTGGTACTTGAAAATGTTAGTACGTAAAAGCGGTACACGTGTTGTTGTAATCACGGCTTAAAAGCCCCGAAAAAAATTATTTTGATGTACCGCTTTTGTGTACCAACATTTTCAAGAACCGTATTTCGTACGAACGTAACAATGTCCAACGAATATTCTCATCAGTTCAAATTGAGTGTGTGTGATAAGAGTTGACAGTTGACAGCATCGACGCGTTGCTTAAACCAAACACGATTCGTAATGTTGTATGTGTGACGTTGAATTGATTTTGTTGCGAAATACCGACGAAACCAATTCTAACAGCAAATTGACGATTCACTCACTCACAGTCTGTCTGTTTAGCATTACGAATTACATTGAATATGTCTATTAAATCTGTAATTTAATGCTAGTCGCTCTGTTTTTTGTTTTGTCTTCTTTCATTGCCAAAGAATGTCAAACTAATTAGAGATTCGATTGTGACAAATTGATAATTTGTTTATGGTTCTGTAATTTGCTCCTCTTCTTCTCTTCTCTTCACAGATTTGGATCACACAGCCGATGTTCAGTTAGTTGTTAAAATGGGAGAAAACAAAAATTGTCATCATTTCGTTGAAGCAAAATTGATTGCAATTTCACTATTTCTCATTTATTTTCTATTTTTCCTTCATTTTGCATAATTTATGACCGTAATTGAGTTGTGAGTTCATTTCCAATTTCGTTTTTCTCTTTCTCTACCTCTCGCTCTACTTCACTTACACTCCGGTCGCGGTGACCATCCAATCCGGAAAAAACTCCTCTCATCGTTGCGCTGCCGCAAAATTTATACAAAACGCAAATTTAGATTGCACGCATGGGGCGATACACTTCAGGAGGCGTTCGAACAGTGTGGCGTCGCAATGTTTGGCTATATGACAGAGATTGAAACCGTGGAATTAAAGCAGTGTTTCAAAATTACCGCATCCGGCGATGATATCGAAAGTCTTCTGTTCCATTTCCTCGATGAGTTGCTGTTCCTATTTTCCACCGAACCATTTTTAACGTGCGCCAAATTGGAAATCAGTAAATTTGATTTGGTCGACTTTGAGATCGATTGTCTGTGCTACGGTGAACCGTTTCAATTGGGAAAGCATCCGCAAGGCACCGAAGTTAAAGCAATTACCTACTCGGCCATGCAAGTCATACAAAGGCCAACGAAAAACGAAGTTTATGTCATCATCGATATCTGAGAGAATGTGAAGCGCTCCAGCGACCAACATATTTTAAATGGGCTTCAAAGAGATGCTCGCTCTTTTTTTGATACGTAATTTCATACATGTTAAGCAATATTTTAGAAGAAATTAAAAAAAAATTAAAGGACTAAGTCTTTGAATTGACTGTGTAACCAAAACATGAAAAAAATCGAGGCAAAAGAATATTTTTTTATCAATCGAATAATAGGCATTAGACTTTTTATCCATAAAAAATAACATCTTTTTTTGTATGATACATTTATAATCGAGTAAACGATATTTGTGAATCATAAAGATAACTATATGTAATAAAATAAAAATAATTCAGGAATTAGCAATACTGTATGCAAATAGTGGCGAACTTCTTTTTTTTGCGTTGCACCGTTTCGTTTGCAAACACACACATATATACGGAAAAGAGAACAGGAGTGAGGTTTCTAGATAAGCACCGATTGTTATCATGGCACATTGTACGCTGCCCAATGCCCATACGCTGCCTCTTTCACGGATGTCGTTCGCTTACCGGGGTAAAGTGCTATGCCAGCCAAACCACATATCGACGACATCAAACTCACCGCCTATTCACCCATTTCTCACTCGGTTCGCATGCAGCGCAACATTCGCAACTGCAAACTGAATAATTGAATTCGTTTCGCTTGCAAACCGCTGCAACATTGTAACAGGTAATATACGGCTATGGAAATCCAAACCAATAAACACAATGTATAAGCTACTAATTAACAAGCTCTTGAAACGAAATTCGAACGCAGAAAGGAGGTAGAACAATTTGCTGCCAATTGTCTTTTTTACTTCTTCTTATTTTTGCTAGGCCTCATTTTAATGTCATGTTTCAAATGGTAAACAATAATCATGTAGGTTGAAATGGGGAAATAAGTTGAGTGCTTTTTATGTAATCATCATCTCTCGTCGAAGCGTATAATTTCCAAACAAAATCTAGAATATTCTGTGTTGCACTCACAGCGCTTACATTGTATCTGCGGTATTTGCATTTGGATTGCCGACCAATTACGCGTTTTTCCATATGAATTGCATCGAGATCTTTCGTCCTCTCTCACTCTCTCTCTCTCTCTCTCTCTGGCCGTCTGTATCGGCATACAGGGAGAAATGTTGCTATTTGCATTCTGAATGATGCTTTTACTCTTCTGTCGAGAGTGATTGTTGGGTAAGATAAATATATGCGCCGCACATCTGTGTGTTTGGCCAGTGAACAGCTGAAGCTAGCTCTTGTTAGACTTGTTACATTTTTTTTCCTCTGCTTGCTACAATTCAATTGAAACACTAGAAACTGAATATTCTATGAATATTTCAACATGTTTGATGATGGGGCGAGCACGGGCGGCCGGCTTTTATCCATACGATGCAACAACAATGTTTGTCATTTTGTAAATGGGTAGTAATAGTGATTTTGGTTTTTGTTGCTTCGCTGCTCGACTGCTCTGTGCTAACGAACTTGTAAATGCTTTGCGTTTTTCGTGTATCATAAAAAACAAACGCGGTACTAGGACTCTTTTTTTCTTGTCTTTCAATGGATTTTTCTATCGCAATCCATATGTTGTATGTTGGAGCTGTGTGAACTGTTTACTACTCTTCGAAGATTCTTATCCTTTTTGTTCTATCCTGTCTGCAACTGTTTGCATCGAAAACAATGGCCATCGTACAACCAACGTAGCAAGACGTCTGCCAAACATTGTTTCACAAATGGACTGGAGAGAAGAAAAAAAGGCGAACAACTGAATAGAAATGATTTTCGCTTTTGCTCTCTAACAGATCAATAGAAATAGATAAGGCTGTCATATTAAAGTGGAAATGTCTTAACATTATGCCGCTGGCTCATGCATTACTGCATTCATTCCTTTATTTTGTTCTCGGGTCGAATGTGCTTTGTTATGCGTGACTAATTTGAAACAAGGAGAGTCAGTTTTGGCTCGGGCTACAATTAGACGGAAGACAAAGACAGAAAAAGAAAAAAAGAAAGGAAAGAGAGGGAGAGAGCAGGAAAGAAAATTGTGGTTCGGAGAGCATCAACCATATGAGTAAGTAAATTTGACCAAAAAAAATACAATTTAAAATTAGAGATTTTCTACAATGATTACAACCAACTCGTTTCAATGTAAATAATTTCAAAGTGACTTCATACTGCGGTTGAACCGATTCTAATATAATAACATTGAAACTCTCAACCGAAAAAATTCATGAGATCGAAAAATTTGCATATATTTTTTTCTAGCTCAGACTCGGAAATTCGATTGAGAAATTTCATCAAAGCCAATTTATTCGGAATTTCCTGAATCGAAAATGAATAAACGTACTGAAACCCATTTTGAATCTCAACTTTTGATGACATCGATGTAAACAAGTCATTAGTTTTTAAACAATTCCGGTGATAGAATTTTTGATGGCATATTATCATAATAATGCAATATCATTTCAAATGATTCATTTGTTATTTAACGAGAAGAGGAGTAGAGAAACAAGAGAAAAAATACATCGACATCTGCAGTATATAAAGTAAAACAACCAGAAGCCGATTCGTTTGCCGTATATGAACGTAAATGGAATGAGTTGTAAGTTTTTTTAAGACACCACCAGGGGGACTGCGGAGTAGAAAGTGTAAACCGATTGCTCAATGAATCCGAACCAAATTCATGTTTTTTTTATTCCACAAGTTTAACCATAAAATTTAATTGAAGCAATTGATTTGTTCTTAAAAATTACCATAAAAAAAATGCTCGATAATTTTCTGAAATACCATGAAATACGAAATGATCAAATGCTTCCGCTTGCGTTACAACTCACAAGAAAAACGTATCAGTTTCGCGGGCAATTTAAGTCTTTCGAAAGAACATCCATGGGCTAATATGCATATCGCTTTTTTGGTTATTTTTTTATTTTTTATATATTTTGGTTAACATAATTTTCCCATAAAATGTGATTGAATTATTGTTTGGTCTCAGTTTTATACAACAAATAGAAGTTGTAGACTTTTGACTTGACGTCTGCATATTTCTTGTTCGGCACTATTGGCTTCTCCGGTTGCTCGGGCAATTTTACAATCTTTCGATAAATGGGGTAATGTTTCGGCGGTGGATTAAATCGTGCTTTGCGTTTCGTCATGAATGCATCGTGCTCCAGCTTGTACTGGCGATAGTAGCCATAGTTCATCAGGGTGGTCATATCGGGCGTTGGCTGTCCATCATAATGCGCTTTAAATGGTTGTTCACCAGGGAAATGGTCTGGTAATTTCAGTGTATCCATTGGCTTAACAGCAATCGCTCGGCTCCAGATTCCTTGTCTGCACGGCTTACGCTTGTGGCAACTCGTTTTTCCGGCATTCATTCTTAATGCTCACAACGGGATTTAAATTCTGGTCAATTTTTAAAAATTTAAACAAATTTTTCCCTTTTGATTTTTGAATATTATTTTTAAGAAAAATTTTATGTGGACTTTTATCCAAACAGTTTCGAAAATTATTGTCAATTAAAACTATTGCAATGACTACTGAGATTACGTTAACATAGAAATAGATTTGTGTCAGCTGAAAATTTGCTCGTTTTAAATCTCGGCGCCACAGTCTAATTTATGGATTGTTTATTGATTTTCACCAACGAGAGCAAATCTACTACGTCATTCATGGCGCATAACAGCGACGAAGTAAACAAAAATGCTTTCGTATGTTTGACGTACATCGCTTTTGTTCATTGGTATTAGTTGGAATGACGGCTGTTTCAAAGTATTTTAACAACGTTCGTCATACAATGGCATCTGCACAAGTAAACGTCGATGAACGGCTGTGAATATGTGCGTTTACAAAATCATATGCAACATACGCACACATACACATACACACTTAGTCGAAACCGCCACTGTTGTCGATTTTTCCTGTAAACTCTGTGTTATTTTTTCTTCTCACTCATTTTCGATTCGTTCACACCGAAAGGTATATTATACGTATATAACATACGGTACACGTTACCGTCAAAGCCAAAACTGCGTATGTGTGTATGTATGTGTGTGTGAGAAAGAGTAATGCCATACGAGAAATTTACTACTACCGAATCGAATAGGCCATAGTATACAGAATTCAAGTTGCTGTTCATTTGCGTGCAACCATCATCAGAAAACGTCTTTTTTTCGTGTCGATTCTCTATGAATACAGCGCTGTAGTATGAACCAAGTGTGAACCACTACACAGCTCATTAAAAAGAAGAAGCAGAGAAAAAAAAACGAACTAAATTAAAAAAACAGCCAGTGTTAAAATAGTGCTCAATACGAATGTTTGAATAAAAATCATAGAAATCGAATTGTTTGTCTTGCAGAAATAGAAGTGGATACCTTCTTTCTATTATTTGGCTCCAAAGCATAAACGTGCAATCGTTCATATTTTTTTATATGCCGCGCAACTATGTAAGAAGCAACGAACGACGAGATATTTGTATATGTGTCGCAAAGGAAAAACCTAAAAGAGTTGAATTTTTATTTTTCATGGTGTGTATGTGTATTCGATTGAACAGAAGAAGAAAAAACGCAGTTTCATCAAAGTCAAAAACTAAAAACACAGAAATTTGGACTGCATTTTTTTGTTCGTAAAATTCGAAACGAAGCGAGAGAAATAAGAGGATTTCAACAAACGACGCCAATCCAACTCATCTTCTTTTATTGCAGCTGTATGTGATCCGTGTGTGAGCCGATCTAAAACCTCAATTACACTGCGTACGTATAATATGCGGCGGACATTTTTCTCTACACACCATTTTTCATCAATTTCGATTTTTGGCATTTATCCGTCAAACGATCAAAATAATTAGCAATTTTCAATTTGATTGCTCGTGTAAAACAATCGCAAACCAAAATATTTGAGATAGTAATAAAAGCGCGATAAAAAAAATAGTACAAACGTGAATCGCTTTAGACTTTTGGTGTTTCGGTTTGACAATTCGAAAACAGTTCAGAGTTTTTTTTTCTATTGGTTTTCTACTGGTAGAAAACTGAGACGACAAAATACTGTCGACAACGTGAAAAAAAGATTAATGACAGTTTTCCATAATCAGTGTGCAGTCTTTTTTTTATTCTATTTGAGTGCATGTAATGTGTTGGCGAGAAAATCTAGAGCAATCGACAGACTCATTTTTTGTTCCAACTCCATCAAATCGGTAAGTGATCTCTTATATATATTTTCTGCCTTCATTTTTAGCCAATTGCTAAATAGAGTTTTTCTTCCTGTAATATTTGCTAATCGAAAATCGAACACCCGTTGGCAAAGGTACATACGGGTGCAGACCTTTAAATCGTATCGTTCAACACTTCAACCTGCCATTTCTGATACTATTTTT